TTTTGGAACCACTGTGTTTTCAAGCTAAAAAAGCACGTTTTACGAGCACATTATTTTCAACCTGAAATCATGTAAGGTCCGCTTACATTGTCAGTACAATTGTGTTCTTTTATTAACTCCCAAGGTCCAACTTTCTTTGGCTTTTAGTCATTTAATTACACATTATTTTGTACACTCTTCCATCATATCGGGTGTAGCCAAAGATTCACTTTTTTTTGGCTTTGGTGTATGATGGAATAAAGCAAAATGGCTCTTTAAATTGTCTGTGCTTCTTTTAATAGTGAAGTTACTTTCGACTCTCATCATGGGTCATTCGGAAGCAGCCGCTTTATGTTTTGAACATAGGCGTCATGCTGCGTACATGATTACCTGTGGTGCTTGAGTCGGGGGTCTCTTTGGAAACAACCTCTCTACCTTCGAGTAGGGGTAAGGTCTGGAAACACCCTCCCCAGACCCTACTTTACTTTTGTGGGATGCAATTGGGTTGTTGCTGTTGTATTATTCTGTGCAGTTTTAGAATCTTGCTCTTAGTATTTATTTCACTGAAGTAATCTAGAGGGCTGGATCTACTTTAAAACAATCTTACTGGGTATATTATACACTCCGTTTTCCTTCCGTTGGCTTAGAATGAATAGAGACCATTTTCAAAATACTCAGTCTATTTTTCGTTAAAACACTGCCTCTTCATAAATATCTAATTTTGTTTGTGCAGAACTTGTATATTAGTTTGACAAATACAAAAGGTTCAACTATTGATCCGCTCACCATTGTCAAGTCTCAAGTCCTTCTAGCAGTTGGGATTAACCCTTCGAAGTCAAGAATGAAGCAGTTGGCTAAAACAATCACGGATTCTCATGCCCAAAACCTCGGCCTAAATAATACCCAATTTGGCAAAGTCAAACAAGTCAGCCTTTCCTCTAATTGGAAGCACATGCTTGGTGGGAGCCCATCACCATCTCCATCACCTCTTCCACTTCATAACCATCACCAAAAAACCAACCCCACTCCGGCTTTGCTGCCTTCTCCAAGTAGAGGGGAGAGATCGCCTGTACCCTCACCTTCTCCCCACACACACAAGATTCATAAGGTCAAGGCTCCTTGTCCTTTTGGCTCTAAAATGGGAAGGCCTCCAAGTGAAACACAAAAACAAAATCACTTGTCACCCGCCGTTTCACCTCCACATTCTGCTTCTGCTCCATTGGTGAAGCCGCTTGAAGTTCCTACAGCAAGCCCACTTCCAAGGGTTGATCCCCCACCTGATGCGGTTCCTCCTGACAAAGTACATTTCATTTCATCCATGCCATCCTCAGGTGAGTGTGTTTCCAAGAGTGCTGGTCTTTTTAGAGAAGTTAATGCAGTGTGAAGCAAAGCTAGTTTTTCCTCCATTGCGAACCTCTAGTTTTTCGTTCACCCTCTAGTTTCCACAATTTATTTTCCTCCAAACAAACAGAGCCGTTTTTTTTCATTTCTACTACTGCCCAAGTTTTTTAAAAATATACTCTCTATATCAGTACAAGTTACAACTTACAAGTTAAGCTGATGCACTTCTTATTGCAGCATCCTTTGCCATCCCTTATTCATACCTATGGGCTCTCTCTCTCTGTCTACTTCTACACTTCATCTATAAGAGCTGAAATGAGGGAGAGGGTTTCCATTTTCATTATTTCACAACACCAATCAAGAGGCGAGAGCAATGCCAAAAGGGAACGCTCCTCACCTTTTCGAGTAGATATTTGTCTTTTGTGCATGTAAATATGCTATAAAAACTTCAGCGGTGAGGCGGATTACCGGGTCAAAGTTGCAGAGGTGACGGGTCCGGGATTGTGCATCGCTGTTGTTATGTATGGTCTCTCTTCTTCATAATAAGATATGTAAGGAGGGAAAAGGAAACTAGCAAGTGTATAAAACGACGCCCTTTTTGCTTCCCTTTATGTTGCCCAATAGTTGGGTTCCTTCCTACGACTTGAGCTATTTTGTTCAATGTTCATTCATATTGAATGCTGCTCACAGTTGTAATGTTGTATAAATTCACTCTCATAAGAGTGGTTTCTCAACTCATGAACAAAAACTTGCAGTTTCACAGGCCTTAATTTGATTTTGTGAGGTTTATCACTTTTGCAATGGAGCTAAAACAGTCATTATTAACAATGTTTTAAAAGTAGTTTTTAGCAAATAATGGGGGCCAAATCAAAGGTAACGTTAAACTTGTTGCTTCTTTCTCTGAAGTCTTGGACAATGAATGCAGCAATGTTGTAGGGTATACGGAAACAACCTTTTTTATACGGATAATAGTGCACACATTTTGATCCATGGTCCCCAATAATTTTGGGATTTTAATTGGTTGTTGTGTCACTTCTGCAATCAAAATTAGTACTATGTACTCCCTTTATCACAATTTAATCCCTTTATCACCAATTATAATCCCAATTCATAATTTTTTACTAAAATTATTTTGAATTTAATTTACTCAAAACTGTCTTAAAAGTTAAAACTATCTTTCCAATTATCATTTATACGATCAAACTTTATTTATCTTGGGCTTGTTTCTCTGTGTAGATGTTTATTGGCTTATTACTGATAAATATTTTTTAACTTATAATTTTCTTATGAGTTATATATTCTTTCGTGGAAGTAAAATGACTTAAATGATAGATAAATCATTTGTAAATATTCATAAATGGTGAGAGATAATTTTTAAATAATTTGGTCAAAGTAGATAAACAAAAAAAATTTGCTTAAAAATAAGTAGTTATGATCTACTTATTTTTTGACTTATAAGCAACTTATAAGTCAGTTTATAAGCATACAAACATGTCATCATCTGATTTATAATTTAAAAATTGCTTATAAACTATTTTGACCCACTTATACGCACAAAGAAACACTAGCTTTATATGTTTATTTTCTTTAGTTATCTGATAAAATAATATAGTCATGTCACATTGTCACCTATAGTTTTGTAAAATATTTGATGTAGTTTTTAAATATATAAATTTATTTTTAGATTTTACATTTGTATTCAAATAAATTAAATTGAAAATAACTTTGATCAAATCTTGTAAACTAAAAGGAGAAGTTAGTTTTAGGAGTTAGGAGGGAGGGTGTATATATGTGATATTTGCATCAAGAGTTTTTACTCCGTACTATTTTAACAAAGAAAGTTTTTAAAATTTAACCGTTGAATAAAAAACATGTAACTTAAATATGAATAGAGAAACCACTGTTTTTTTAGCATGCTGAAACTACCACCCTTATATATATATGGGTAGAGAAAATAGATTCTTAAAACTTTTGGTATAGTTCTAAATATGTAATTTATACCTTTATTTCTATACTAATCCGTAGATGAAATAATTTTAAGAACAAATTCTTCGGTGGACCTAAAATCAATGCTCATGTTATAGACTTTAATACAATTATAGCATAAAAGAAATGAGCCTTTTGCAAAAAAGAAAAAATTCACATGCAAGTTCATGAAAAAATGTATGAAGATCTACATTTTAAATATAAACTTTGAACCATGCATGTAAGCATAACTCAGTTTTAAGAGATATAAAATTTCATATGAAGAGATAAAATTTCATATGTTAAGTTCGAAAAAGAAAGTTTATTTAAAGAGGGAGGAGTAGCCAAAAGAAAAAAAAACTATGCGTTGCACTCATGTCTGGGTGTAAATCTACACAACTCATACCAGGCCCTAGCTACTTCAGACTATCCACAATTTACAGGCCGAGCTGGGCCTGTGTAAAATTTTAAGCCCGAGCTCCTTATTTTTTAGGGTCTGGGCAGAATATTGAGACTCATGATTAGATCTATTTACAAGCAAAAAATATTACTCCCTCTATCTAAAAATATTTTTCAGATTAAATTTTATAAAAGGTCCCCAGTTATAAGTCGTTTTACATATTTAGTCCCTACATATCAAATATCACTAATTTAATCCCCAATTAGTATATCATTTTTCACGAATGGTCCTTTGTTAACGTTTTTGTTAAGAACAATATAAAATTGTATATTCATACTTTTCTATATCCTCAATTAAGCTTTCTCTCTTCTCTCTTACTCTTTTCCAAACTCATCACTGAGTTTGAAACTCTAAACCCAAAACCGAAATGATCATTCTTTTCTCAATTATTAGTCTTCCTAGTAGAAACTAAAATCAAAACAAATAAACTTTATGGATGAGTTTTATCGGTTAGTCTCAAGAAATTGCCAAGAAAATAAATATTAAAACTCATCCATGAAAGTTACTGGTTTTGAATTTGGGTTCCATTAGTTAGACAAACAATTAAGAGAAGACTAATGATTTCGGTTTTGGGTTCAAAGCTTCAAACTCAGCGACGGGTTTCAAAAAGGAGTGTGAGAGGATGAAGGAAGCTTAATTGAAAAGAGAAAGGAGTATGAATTTACAATTTTATCAACGTTTTTAACAAAAATGTTAACAAAAAACTATTAGTGGAAATGATTATAATAACTAGAGACTAAATTAGTAATATTTGATATGTAGGAACTAAATATATAAAATGATCTATAATTGGAAACTTTTTATGAAATTACTCTATTTTTAACGTGTTGACTTAACACTTTATGAAAGAATAGTAAACAAAAAGTGGCAAGTTATTAAAAGTTCACCTATTATAAACTTTTAGAGGTTTGTTTCTTATTAAAAAGGTAATAAAAAATAGATTGGAGTCTTTTGGAGATAAAATATAAAGAAATTATTAAAATTTATCCTTAAAAAGTAAGCAAAAAAAGAAATGAGAAAAATATTTTCGAGGAGTTAAAAGAAAAATGGAAAGAATATTTTTAAAGAGAGATAGTATGGATGGGGTATGGAATAAGATATGGAGGGTATGTAAGACTTTCCGAAAAAGTAAATGAATTTATGTAAGAATTTTTTTGAAAAGTAAATGAATAAATAGAGTGGGAATAGGAAGTTAGGAACCAAAACCGGTAGCAAATCGACCAGGAACCGTAGGGTCTTCTGTCCTCCGCTCGGACTATGGACTCAGTCCAAACCAGTCAGTGACACCGTGAGACACCAGTCTCTCCGGCGCCGGGCTTTAGACAGAGAGATTAGGAAAAGCCACAAATCAATAGCATTATAGAAACAAAGAGATGAAGAGTCATAATAGATGATGATGGTTTGAAGGTAGATAGATACACAACTGCATTTATATGAGCATTCGAATTTCCAGCAGAGAAATCGGAGGGAGAAAAAAAATACTAATCATGGACAGAGGCATTCACAATCCTGCCAATCTCAAAACTCACATAAGCATCGATGCAGGCGTACTGGATCTGCTCCAGGGTGAGAGAATCGCGAGCCCAATCGCTCAGGGTGACCCGCCTGGGCTTATCCATTTCCGCTCCCATGTAGGTCACCGCCAGATGCTTCAATCCGACTCTCTCCAGAGACCGATCGTTGAACTCGTTCGCCGCTATGGTCCGCAAGTCGACGGCGTTGGCCACCTCCAGTTCGTGGTCCTGCGCGAGAAGCTCCAAGTCGGTGTGGATTCCGACGCCGACGAAGGTGTAGTTGGAGTCGGAGAGAAAGCGGTGGAGCGCGTCCGGGATCTGGCTGCAGTAGAGAGGCTGGAAGATGAGGCATCGGTGGCCGACGCAGAGTTGGAGCGTCGCCACCGGATTGCTCTCTCCGCGGTAGCGATTCGGACGCCACTCGACGTCGAGGCCGACGACGAGGTGGTGGAGGCGGCGGCGGTGGATGAACTCGGTCTCGTCGATCCATTCGATGACCCGGCTTGATTCGTAGGTGACTAGGGTTTCGATGCGGTGGCCGTAGAACCAAACGTTGTAGAGATCGGGGAAGCCGGCGACGCATTCCTCAATGCCATCCATCATCTCTCTCTCTGTGTCTGCGGGAAGGAAGGCGGGAGGAAGCAGAGAGGGTGGTAGTTGAGCGTGGATTTAGAGGGAGGCACTGACGGCGCAACGATTCCTTTTCTGCGGGGCTGGACAACGCTCCGGTTTGGAATTGGAACCGGAACAGCTTGAAACCGTGGGGAAGGTTCATGCTCCGTTTTTTAAAAAGGTTTTTTTAAGGTTTATTTTTAATTTATTTAAGGTTGATCTACAATATTTACAGCTTAGAGTCAATAATAAAACTTTTTTTGCAAAAAAAACATTATTAAAAAAAATTATTCAACACTGGAACCGCTACAGAACCAGAATCGTTCCTATAATTGGCAAATCGATCGGTCAGGTCGGGTTCGGGTCAATTCAGATTCGGATTGACAACTGTATGTTTATGATCCAAGGTCATTGGGTTCGGGTCGATCTAACGAGTTATGACTTTAGTTTTTAATATTTTTAAATTAATATTAACACTTGCATTTTGCATTGAATAACTTTAAAATATAAAAAACTACTCCTTCCGTCCCGAATTTGATTACAAATTGGGGTTTACGAAGAAAAATTTCTTACTTTTTAAAATTATTTTATTTACAAATCAGTATATTAATAAGAAATAAAAATTACATATTAAAAAATTATGTCAAAAGTTCTACAAAATAAGAAGTGAGAAGAATATATTATTATACTATATATTTAATGAAATCACGTAAATAAACAAATTTATCGAGATGAGAGAAAAAAATTGTAATCAAAATGGGGACGGAGGGAGTATGTGTTAAATCTATTAGATTATTTTATTTCAACTTTTGAAGTAATTTTTAGATATATAAATTTCATGGGTGTAAATACCGTGCAAATACCACTACTACAAAAATGACCAAATAAATCGCCTAATTTGCACCGGCAAGCAAAACAAACGATGTAAAAGAAAAAAATTTCGCATATCGCTTAGCTTTTGGATCAGTTGTTTCTAATAACCGATTCAAAAGATTATTTGAATCGGTTATTAGAGCGGAAGGGCTGTAGGTGGAAGCATCCGTAACCCGGTTTGTTATTAATGATAGTATGACTGTTTTACAAAGTACACGCGTGTAGGTTAATTAAAGCATGCCTCGCAAATGAGGTGTTTAGTCCTATTTATAATAATCTCTAAGCACGTCAAGCACGTCTATGCTCTTCTGGCCGGTTAGTCTTCCACAGGTCAGTTTGTATGCCTTCGCCAGACGAAGCCATGTCTGTGATTTCGTATCTTCTCACCCCTGACCAGTCATACTGCCCAGGTCGACTGGGTCATAAGGCGTTGGATTTGATACCTCCCGGTCGGTACGAACCTACCGGGTGGAATCCATGGGTTATTACTCATCAAAATCAATATTAAAAATTAAAAATGCATAATCTTTGAAAAAGGTAAGATAATTATGCAATATCATTAAAATTTTCTCTGAAAATATAAATTTTTACACTAAAAATGAGTTGTAAGAAAAAATATAATAATAACTTTATTTTTATAACATTATATTTCAAAGTAAAGTATATGATTTTGAAAAACTCTTACATTAGCGGGTCGGTCATATCCGATTCGGGTTCGATCGGATTTGGCTCATTTTTAGCAGGTCATTCTGGGTTTGGTCAACTTCGGGTTCGATCATCAAAACCTTTGTTTAAAACACGATATTTTCAGGTCGGGTTTCAGGTCAAAAATAGATCAGTTTATTTTTTGTCATGTCTAACTGTCCCTAAACGGTACCGCTTGCGATTCCCTAAAATGGGGGTACTGTAACACCGATTCGAAACCGGACCTATACTGTGTCTAGCCTATCTTTGATGAACAAAAAAGCATCCCTTCTATCTAAAAAAGACTTTCAGTTTTCTTTTTGGGAATTTCCAAAAATGAAAAAAACTTTCAAATTTTCAAAAAAGAGTGTTGTATGCACTACTTCGTATAAGACTGTGTTCTATGGAAACATGAGGATGGCTTGATCACCTCCTTCACGTCCCCATTTCATTTCAAACCATGCGTGAAGGGGCGTTGCATCTACAACTAGCTGTGGTGGCTACCCTTCATTTTTTAGAGAGTAATAATTTTCAATCACTCATAACTTAGGACGTACTTTTTTTCCAATCAACTTAGCACATACTTCATATTCAATTCAACTAATCAAAATAATCTGAACAATCACTCCATTGGTTGTGGTCAAGCCCCTATTTAAGTCTCATAACATGCATATTTTACTCACATTCACGTGCTTATAGGACACCTACATGACACTTTATCAAGACTCTGTAAAACCCGTCATAACACTTGACCTTTTAAAGTGAAGAGCACGAAACATATGAGATATTAATCTCTTTACCACAACTAGTAATGGAATTTTTACAATCAAGAATAATCGAATCAAAATAAGAGTAGTCGTTACTTGAGCCACAAAAAACATCCACCACATCCTTGTAACCTGATTCCAGCATCACCCATGGCCAACTCTTCACTTTGATCCACTTGAGAGCCGCTCGAAGCGTGCTCGAAGCTTCATCGCTTCAGCCTTTCTAGCACACAAGCTCCCTCTCTCTATGGTACTCGAGGCTCCAAGGAATGTTTAAATAGCATCTCATACAAGAAATCCAAAACCAATCACATCATCTACGAAACTTGTAGAAGCATCAACATTAACCTTCACCCACCCCCTCGGAAGCGGGTTCTACGTCGTAACATCGCCGCTGCTTTGCTCTCGTTCACCATCCACCCCTATCAACTCCCGCCAGCTATTAAAAGTTGTTTCTGCTTTTGCCCAAGTCGTCACAACATTAATATGGTCTCCTCTCCACACTTTGTTGTTTAAGCTGGTCCAATAGCCCATATAATATATGGGTGGGGTTCCGTTGAAACTGGAATCCGATGTCAACGGATAACATTCGCCCATTTTGAGACATTTCTGGTGCTCCGTTTATTAAATTAATGGTTCCTATCCCCCCCTAATCATCCCCCAAAACTCCCTACCCCAGCCCATCCATACCTCCACCCTGCCGCTTCTAAACCCTTCTTCAAATGTGTGGCTATTATGCAATACACATTTGGAGGGGAGCTTAGAGGGGACAAGGGTGGGGGTAGGGGTGTGTTGGGGTAGGGGGTTTAGGGGGTGGTTAGGGAGATATGTTTCATTAATTTTGTAAATAGAGCACCAGAAATGCACCTAAATGACAGTGGCACTGAAATGTTACTGTACTCTGCTATATAAAAGATTAGTTTTGCAAAGAGGCATTGAACCAGCATGTGGGAAGCATATTCGTTTTGATCATCGCAAATAGGGCAAATTAAGCGGCCTCTCTCCACAAAATTACTCATACATGGGAGGACATTATTTAATGCTATCTAAGCAAAATTCTTCACATTATTTAAATGCACTCTTGGAATATTGTACAATTGCTAAACAAGCAAATAATAGCTCATATTTATGCTCCCCGATTAGAGATGCTCTTAAAACACTATCTCAATTTGAGTGTAACTAAATTAGATTTAAGATAAGATGGCATAAGAATAATCTTAATTTTCACGATATCCAATCGCACACATTGAACAATACCAGTGTTTTGTTCGTATTTGTGCTTATTTTGAGAACAAAAGGGTACTAATTCATAACTTTATGAAATTAAAAATAAGAGAAAAAAAGTTCGAATTTTTTTAAGTAGAAGTCTAAAATAATCTTTGGTAAAATTCATTGCATGACAAACCATGGGCAGGTCAGAGGATGTGCAAGTTGGCCATCCGCTAGGACTCTCAAATTTTTAGCACCTAATATTATTAGATATTTATTATTTTAATTACTTGATATTTTTAATTTAATATAAATTTATACTTTAGTATTTTGTTTTAAAAGTAGTTATTAGAAATCAAATTTAGCATTAATTTTAAAACACAAGTACTTTGTTAAAAATAAAATATGGTCCAACATGTGATTTTGGTACAGAACTGATCTCATTTTTTACACTTTTGGGCCGGCCTTGTGAGTTTGTGACAAACATTGGTCATTCGTAAAAATTGTAATCTCTCTCAGAATAAATTTTTGACTTTTTACCAATTTTTTATGTATAATTATATAAAAAGTACAAGTGATATTTAAATTAGATAAATACTTTTTAAAAAAATATTTAATAAGATACATGCAATAAAGTATAACTTTATTTTATAAAAAATATACTAGCAAAAATTTAATACTGCGCAAATACTTGAAAGAAAAAAAAATTGGATTTCCTAATGAAAAAGAAACCGCGGGTTCTGATACCAAAAATCTGTGACACCAATCGCGGAGGATGCTATGGACCCCAAAAATTTTGGAAGAGGAAGCATAGAATCCTGACCAGACAAATTCTTATATTCCTTATCCGCTGCACAAAGAGCCAGGGAACCTATACGCCGCCGCAGCCATGGACACCGGCATTGTAGACATTCCAGGCTCCGACGATCGCTTCACCGTCAACTTCCACCAAAGCTCAATTGAAACCCTAGTCACCTACGAGCCCAGCAAGGTCGTCGACTGGATCAACGACATCGAGCAACTCCACCGCGACAGTCTCCCCAAGCTCATCGTCGGCCTCGACGTGGAGTGGCGGCCGAGTTTCTCGCGCCACCAGAACCCGGTGGCAACCCTCCAGCTCTGCGTCGGCAACCGCTGCCTCATCGTCCAACTCCTCTACTGCAACCCCATTCCGGATGAGCTCTTGGCTTTCCTGGCCAACTCCTCCTACACCTTTGTGGGCGTCGGAATTGGGGAGGATTTGGAAAAGCTCTTAGAAGACTACGACCTGGCAGTGGCCAACGGCATGGAGCTGCGGACCCTGGCTGCTGAAAAGGCGAACGACAGATCACTTAAAAACGTTGGGCTGAAGGATATGGCGAGGATATATCTGGACGCGGAGGTGGTGAAGCCGAAGAGGGTGACCATGGGAAGATGGGATCAAGAGTGGCTGTCTGAAGAGCAGATTCGTTACGCTTGCATTGATGCTTTCGTCTGTTACGAGGTTGGCAAGATTTTATGTGGAGCAGAGTCATGAGCTGTGTGTATTGTTACAAGCATGTGCCGGTTTCGGATTGAGTCTCACTATATGCATTTATTCTCTCTATTTGTTCTCATTGTTTAACACCCATATGCATAATTGGTATTGTGTTGAACTAGAGGTAGTATCATTCCAAAAAAGGAAAACACGATATGAATTTTACTTCGAGATTTCAATAAAATGATATTATAAAATGTCCAACTCTATGTGTAGCGGGCTTTACACATATACCATATCTGCACAAGGATAAGCGGACTTACATGAACTAATCTGTTAAGCAGTGAAGCAGATGATTCAATTGACAGTAAAACACAGCTACAAGCAATGGTAGTTCTTACCCAACTAAGGTGAAAATTAGGCGGCAGCAGCATCACATTCTTCCCAGGCACCGTGCACCGAGCTGAAGCTCCTCCTGCCACCCCCCATTTGATGAGTCATGAACTCTGAAAAAACTTCGCGTGCACAGCTGTCCCAGGTTTTCGCCATTTCTCTGATGGACATGGGTTCAGACAGTTGGCGGAGAGACGCAGTGAACCTCAGCTTCACCTCCTTGTATCCATATTTCACTTCTTCACCACTGTCTCTGTTTGATTTCAATGTCATCATCAGATACTAGAGAAGTGTTGCGGATTGAAGCACTTCCACTTCTATGTTTTGTTGCATATATCAGCCGCTTTTTTAAATAGCAATCTCTGATACTCCCATTTTTAGTAGAAGTGCTTCATCCATACGTGTTTTCTCATTTAGGCACTTAAAGGGTAATCTTGAAAACAGATCAATCTGTTGTGTTCCTAATTAAGCATTAAAGTCACTTGTGTTTACTCCAAAATCTTGTTTTTTCCATTTTTACCAAACATAATTTAGGTATGCTCTCAAACGATGGCCACTTTAGAATATATCAAGAAAGTATTAATTGATATTCTTTTATCATTGCCCTCTATCATCCATAATTGTTAACTACGGAATATAATAAGGCTAAAAATTAATAGGGATACTCTAGTTGAATTCGCTCCTTTAGTATACAACTAGATACGTAAGGTTGTCAGTCTAATATAATCAAAGAAAAATATGTGCCTGAGATTGCTTACCCACAGAGGTCAGGCGACTTATCCAACACTATGGGGGAAACATTAGGATAGTCCTCGAGGACTAGCAGCTGCAGAACAAGCATCTCTGGAAACTGAAAAGCGACAAAGCATCATACAGATTGTACTAGATATGTAACATGCTTGGTATAAAAGCTAGCTGATATACCCTTGTTCTGGATGGCAGGTACGGCTGGATTGTCTTCTCACAATAGCCCATAGGAGAGTATGAACACTTAATGACAATATTTTCTTCAGCTCTATGTCTTGGAACATCTTCACTACTTCCAACAACCATCTCCACTAGAGTTTCAACAAGTTTTCTGTTTGTTTCTTTGATCTCTTCTATTACTGTACTTGTAAGCTGCCCAGAGTTGGAGAGGAGAACACAAATTTTAATCAAATACTCCATCCGTCCCGTTTTAAATCGCCTGTTTTGACTTTTGGGCATATTTAAGGAAAAGAAAAAATAGAATTGATTTTTCGAAATTGTCGTTACTTTTTAGAATGGGTGACTATGAATTAGAAGATAAGGTGAAGAAAGGTGACTTATTTTAGGGGTAGTTTAGGTATTTTATTTTTAAAAGTTTACGATAAAAACTAACAGGCAACTTATTTTGGGACGGAGAAAAAAGGCAAACAGACAATTTAAATTGGGACAAAGGGAGTAGAAAACAAATAATGACAATGACACTGATGTGTAATTGCAGTGATCAAAGAAAACAATTATGGCAAGTAGTGAAATAAATTTGATTTATAGAAATAATTGAACTCATAGTTGTATTAATGGTGACATGCAATTACCTACGCCATACCTGAGTGTTTGGGAATTTGGTGATAGCAGTTTCCATAGATAGAGTATGCGGGGAGGTGTAATTAGACCAATCCACACAATCACTTTCCTCAAGTGATGTAGGAGAAACATTTGGAATGATGGCATTTATATTGCGCTTCATCTTACCATTTCCGATAGTTTCATGCCGGCATAGCTTGGCTTTCTGGATAAAACTTCTAACATCAGCCATCAGATCATCTCTTATGGGGTCTCTGAAGTCTCCATAGCACAATGCTCCGGGTCTCATGTCAACCATATTGACAATATTCCCAATGTCCCGTGCTGCTGCAGATAATGATTTTTCTGATATTGATCCTATCTGCAAAGAGATTCAGCATCAAACAGAAGGATAAAACACAATGTAAGGAAAACGTATAATTAACTTTGTACATGATTCCTGCAGAGGGTTTTACCACTGTATAAGGATGTGTGATGTCATTATCCCAATGAACCTTTTTTTGTGGGGGAATTGGGGGGAGGGGGGCATATTAAACAAACAAATTCATGTACACAACACTTTTGGCATGTCAAGGAGGAGAAGCAATACAAACCGCATCTAACAATCGTTTAATCGGTCTTGTACTTTGTTCGTTGCCTTCTGAGTGTCTAGTCTTCATGACTACGGGTGCATCAAGCATTCCAGATGAACTGATTAACTGGGAATCCAAATTGGCTGGTTGTGATTGTATCGTGGGGGCTTTTGAGCCTTCAGCCGATGATGATAGACCTAAACTTGAACAAACCTTCTGGGGACTCTCAGGCACAGATGTTGGGGTTAAGGGGGTCAATGGTGAGGGAGTAATGGTTGGAGATATAGTAGAGAGTGGAAAAGGGTGCTGAGAAAGTTGAGGAGACATGGGCGGAAGTTGACTTGAAGTTGATGGTGGTGTTTGACATAAATTTTTGGAGGGTTTAGTGATTAGGTGATTCGGCTGAACTGTTCGAACATTAGTCCCCACTGCGTGCTTCACCTTGGAATCATTAAAATCGTTCGATTTTTCTGTCAGTTTCTTGTTCTCAGTTACCTTCTGTCCTTCAAACTGCATTATCTTTGTCAATGGAAAACCAAAAGCACTAGCACTATTTCCATGCATTGAAGTTGTCTGCCACATTGGTTGCTTCGTTTTTTGTGACAGTGTCACTGCAGACGCAAAGGTACTTGTATTTGCAGCCAAGGGAGTTGCATGATCACGAATAGTGAGAGTGCTATTGTCCAACAGTGTCACCGGCCCTGGCAATCTAGTACTAGAATGCATTTGTTTCGGATCACTTTGGGAAAATGATTGCGATGCCTCAGACACGTTTGCATTTTGCAGAAAATTAATCAAATTTGGGTGCAAAGGCCACTTTAATCCATCTGGTATTGCACTCCTTGATGAAGATTCCGCATTTTCATGACCTCTATTAGAAACCTCACCAGAAGGATTGAGAAAGAATGATTTTGGGAGGGAAAGCTCTTGATTTGATGAAGACCGAGGTGCACTGCTAGATGGTTCTAATATGGAGTGATTGAACTGGAACTTTGCATTTCCGGTTTGACGCATTAATAATGGTGGATTGGGTACCTGAAGTTGCTGAAGATGCTTCTGCAATTCTGTAGTATTCTGTAATCTAACTTGATCAAGGTAATTTGTTACAATGTTCATATAATGGCAAACTTTCTCCTTGGGTATTTGAAGGAACTCATTTTTAGACATGTGAAAGAACTTGATTATTTTCTCCAAAAATACTCTGCCCTTTTCATAGTTCACAGAGAGCTCAGGATTTGAAGGCTGCATGAAAATTAATACAAAACTTAATGAGTTATTGCTAAGTAATTTTGGTCAGAAAAATACTGAGAACATGATAACATGAAAACTTAGATACTACCTTTACGCACAGCTCTTGTGCTTTCTTGTACATTTTAATAACGTCAACAGAGTATATCTCCCTCATTACTTGAAGCTGATAAAAATATTAAATATAAGAACATGGTAGAAATGATGGAATCTGAAAAGAGTTAAGGTTTAATGTATTTAAAACTAGCACCCATGGGAAACCACTTCAAACAAAAGAACTTTAATATGAAAAAAGCGAAGAACGGAGGGGCATAGAAACTGACTGTTCATTTTAATTTTCATCATCTACAGAACCATGAGAAGAAACAACATGATTCAAAAAATAATAAAGACTGTTGATAAGCATATATTCAAATCCCTGAAATACAATTTCCCAAATTATATTCATGAAAACGGTAGGTTAATTGGCCACACTGAAGGATATAACATAATAGATATGAAGGTGGGGGTTGGATCAAGGATAAAAGAGATAAATCCATGTTAATTGACCAAATTCAAGGGCCCCAGTGCCAAATCCAAGTGTAATTGACCAAATTAAGAGTAACTAAGAATTATTAGTAGATAGAAGCACCTGTTGGTAGGCATTGTCACTCCATTCACTAGAATTAGGTTGTTCAGTTTGAGACATAGAGCTTGAAAATCCTGATGACACACTAATGTCGTCAGGGGCGCGTGACTTATGAATAACTGAGAATTTATTAAATATCGGGGGGGGGGGGGGGTG